CTCAACACTATATGGCCCAGGGGGTAATCAGCCCCTTGTGTGCGTGGGATCCGATGCACAGAAGCACAGACTCACCTACAGTCGTCGTAGCTTCAAAACGTTTATTTAGTCCGCAAATTACTCTGAAACCATTCTCCAATAAGTGTCTGTTGCGGAGCTGCAATTTTATAATCCCAGGATCTCTGCTGGTAGAATGCAATAACCAAGTACAAAGCTGGAAGCAGGCAATATTCCCAAATCCTCCCAAGAACCAGACGAAACACAGTCTGAGAGTCAACTGCCACTTTATTCAAAAAGACTGATATTTAAAGCAGGTCACTCAACTGTCACTTTATTAAAAATAACTGATATTTAAAGCAGGTCACTCAACAGGGGTTTCCAAAGATGGGCAGCAGGGGTTTTGGTTGAGGGGACTGGAGGGAGACTACCGTTTCCAGGTCCTCCTCCCAACAGCCCCTGCTGTAACATACAGTAATGAAAACTACGAGGACATAAACCGTTACCTTTCTACTTCAAAATATACAACTTAGTCAGTTTTAATAGCAATGCTAACGAATGGGGAGGATTCGAACAGACATACACAGTACAGCATAAATTAAACATAGCCGGAGACGCCACACTATACCGGCGCGCAGTACACAACAGAAAATAGGCACAACCATTCTATCTTAGGCAGTCCCAAGTGGCTAGGTTTGCCACAGTGTCCAAGCATAAAAATTCAACAGACGTATCGCCTAGTCTTTGCTCAACTTCCTGTAGTCCCCTCTGGTCCCGCTGCAGAATATTCTTCGATGCAGGGAGCTTCACTTCTGATTACGGCACAGTGATGCTCAACGTGGTGTTGGGACGCATTTTGCCTCTCCTCTCAGGGCTTCCTCAAGTGTGAATGAAGTCCTGCAAAATTCATATTGTAGGTGGGCGAGTTTTATGCAAATCACAAATGATCAGTGTCCATATCAGATTATGTAGCTGTAACTAGACGTAACTAAAACAATGCCTTTTCTACTACTTGTATGACTTTTTATGACATCATGTGATCTTTTTTGTGACTCTGTAGTCAGAACAGATCTTACAGAATAACTTCAGTCATAAAAAAAAAAAAAAAACATCTACACTGAGATTCTAAGATATAAACAGCAGTCACTCTGACAAAATACCAAAGTATTCATCCACAAAGTGCAGCTTAGTTATAGGGGCCCACTTGTGCAGCACAAATGTATTCAAAGAGCATTCAAAGTACAGACATTTCGGGACCCTGGGAATCCCCCCAATAAAGTGACTTTGCAGGCAGCAGCAGAAAGAGATACATAAGGATTCAAGTTCAGAGCCAGTCCAAGCACAATATCACCTGTATTTCCAAGCCTTCGTTTTTGCTCAGAGGACTTGTTTCCTGACACTGGATGAAAATTGTACATGCAATATAACACAAGGTCTGGTCCTCCATTCTTGAATAACTAGATGTTTAGGGCCTTCTAGCAGATCATCAGAGAACGTAACACCACCCATATCACCCATAGTACAGAAAGACCAGAGCAAATAACCATATAGTCTGTTAGGATGGTGTACATAGTTTTAATAAATATCTGTGAAATTTGGCATGTCAGATTTATTGAAATACTAAGGGGAACTTTGTGCATATGCCTTGAGAGAACCATTTAGAATGTTCTGGCGAAGCTACTCTGGCAATTAATTGAAAAACATATTTTTTACATTCAGTTTGCAAAGTGGTAAATGCTAAGCAGTGGTTGGTATCAGTCAGTGATATTACAGTGAGTAGCAGGCAGATTGTAAAAGCAAGTGTGCACCATGGAAATTAGTTGTGATTTCATAGTTGCAAACACTTACTGGCTGTTGGTAGTAACAAAAATGCTTACAATGGCTGCTTGTTACCAACAAAGGTGTAAATTAGCCCTTTGTTAGGCTCAATAGGACGTACATAGGTCAGGCTCAATAGGATGTGCATAGGTCAGGCTCAATAGGATGTACATAGGTCAGGCTCAATAGGATGTGCATAGGTCAGGCTCAATAGGACGTACATAGGTCAGGCTCAATAGGACGTACATAGGTCAGGCTCAATAGGACGTACATAGGTCAGGCTCAATAGGACGTACATAGGTCAGGCTCAATAGGATGTGCATAGGTCAGGCTCAATAGGATGTACATAGGTCAGGCTCAATAGGATGTGCATAGGTCAGGCTCAATAGGATGTGCATAGGTCAGGCTCAATAGGATGTGCATAGGTCAGGCTCAATAGGACGTACATAGGTCAGGCTCAATAGGATGTGCATAGGTCAGGCTCAATAGGACGTACATAGGTCAGGCTCAATAGGACGTACATAGGTCAGGCTCAATAGGATGTACATAGGTCAGGCTCAATAGGACGTACATAGGTCAGGCTCAATAGGACGTGCATAGGTCAGGCTCAATAGGATGTGCATAGGTCAGGCTCAATAGGATGTGCATAGGTCATGCTCCTTTAAAGACATTTCTCCTTATAGAAAACCCATGCTTATTGTAGACTGGGCTCTCTATTAAACAGGAATAATGGCAGTGAAATGAAAGCAGGACATATACTGCTAAAGCTAAGCTACTGGGACAGATTCTTTTTTTTCTGTTTCTTTTAATATTGTTTGAAGTTTACACTGAATTGGAAAAAAGTATTTTTATCTCATAGATTTCCTTTCCCAGTAAGTTATTTCTCGACAAATGCTGGAAAAAAAAATCAGTGTACTGAGCAACAATGAATTCATAAAAATATATACTTTCATTTTGATCAATATTGTTGTGTACTATATTTTTTACATTCTTGGTATTATTTCATTTGTTTTCTCCCTCAGGCTGATAATAACATATCACGTATTGCATTTTTTCCCCATACTGTAAATTCACCAAATTCTCCTATAAAAGTGATGAAATCCACCTCTTATTATAAGTCTTCTTATGAGACCTCACTACATTATAAAACATTGTCACAAATTCACGCAAATAAAATAGCAAAATGTTAAATAGGATGTCAAACAAATTAATAAATTAACTAAAAAAGAGAATATAAATCTCTTAAATATTTTTATATTTTATGAAATATTCATTCAGGTCTTGATGATAAGGAATGTCTTTTTGCTGATGATACTAAGATATGTAACAGGATTGATGTTCCAGGAGGGATAAGCCAAATGGCAAATGATTTAGGTAAACTAGAAAAATGGTCAGAGTTGTGGCAACTGACATTTACAGTTGCAAGAAAAAGTATGTGAACCCTTTGGAATGATATGGATTTCTGCACAAATTGGTCATAAAACATGATCTGATCATCATCTAAGTCACAACAATAGACAATCACAGTCTGCTTAAACTAATAACACACAAAGAATGAAATGTTGCCATGTTTTTATTGAACACACTATGTAAACATTCACAGTGCAGGTGGGAAAAGTATGTGAACCCTTGTATTTAATAACTGATTGAACCTCCTTTGGCAGCAATAACTTCAACCAAACGTTTCCTCTCATTGCAGATCAGACATGCACAACGGTCAGGAGTAATTCTTGACCATTCCTCTTTACAGAACTGTTTCAGTTCAGCAATATTCTTGGGATGTCTGGTGTTAATCGCTTTCTTAAGGTCATGCCACAGCATCTCAATCGGGTTGAGGTCAGGACTCTGACTGGGCCACTTCAGAAGGTGTATTTTCTTCTGTTTAAGCTATTCTGTTGTTGATTTACTTCTATGCTTTGGGTCATTGTCCTATTGCAACACCCATCTTCTGTTGAGCTTCAGCTGGTAGACAGATGGCCTTAAGTTCTCCTGCAAAATGTCTTGATAAACTTGGGAATTCATTTTTCCTTCGATGATGGCAATCCGTCCAGGCCCTGACGCAGCAAAGCAGCCCCAAACCATGATGCCCCCAGCACCATACTTCACAGTTGGGATGAGGTTTTGATGTTGGTGTGCTGTGCCTTTTTTTGCCACACATAGTGTTGTGTGTTTCTTCCAAACAACTCAACTTTTTTTTCATCTGTCCAAAGAATATTTTGCCAGTACTGCTGTGGAACATCCAGGTGCTCTTGTGCAAACTGTAAACGTGCAGCAATGTTTTGTTTGGACAGCAGTGGCTTCCTCTGTGATATCCTCCCATGAAATCAATTCTTGTTTAGTGTTTTACGTATTGTAGATTCGCTAACAGGGATGTTAGCATTTGCCAGTGACTTTTGTAAGTCTTTAGCTGACACTCTAGGATTCTTCTTCACCTCATTGAGTAGTCTGCGCTGTGCTTTTGCAGTCATCTTTACAGGACGGCCACTCCTAGGGAGAGTAGCAGCAGTGCTGAACTTTCTCCATTTATAGACAATTTGTCTTACCGTGGACTGATGAACAGCAAGGCTTTTGGAGATAGTTTTATAACCCTTTCCAGCTTTATGCAAGTCAACAATTCTTAATCGTAGGTCTTCTGAAAGCTCTTTTATGCAAGGCATCATTTACATCAGGCAATGCTTCTTGTGAAAAGCAAACCCAGAACTGGTGTGTGTTTTTTATAGGGCAGGGCAGCTGTAACCAACACCTCCAATCTCATCTCATTGATTGGACTCCAGTTGGCTGACATCTCACTCCAATTAGCTCTTGGAGATGTCATTAGTCTAGAGGTTCACATACTTTTTCCACCTGCACTGTGAATGTTTACATGGTGTGTTCAATAAAAACATGGCAGCATTTCATTCTTTGTGTGTTATTAGTTTAAGCAGACTGTGATTGTCTATTGTTGTGACTTAGATGATGATCAGATCACATTTTATCACCAATTTGTGCAGAAATCCATATCATTCCAAAGGGTTCACATAGTTACATAGTTACATAGTTACATAGCTGAAAAGAGACTTGCGCCCATCAAGTTCAGCCTACCTCACATTTGTTTTTTGCTGTTGATCCAAAAGAAGGCAAAAAAAAACCAGTTTGAAGCACAATTTTGCAACAAGCTAGGAAAAAAATTCCTCCTTGATCCCAGAATGGCAGTCAGATTTATCCTTGGATCAAGCAGTTATTACCCTACATTGAAAGATTATATCCTTAAATATTCTGTTCTTGCAAGTATGCATCTAGTAGCCGTTTGAACATCTGTATGGACTCTGATAAAACCACTTCTTCAGGCAGAGAATTCCACATCCTGATTGTTCTTACAGTAAAAAAAAACCTTTCCTTTGCCTTAGATGAAATCTTCTTTCTTCCAGTCTAAACGCATGTCCTCGTGTCCTATGCAAAGTCCGGTTTGTGAATAGATTTCCACACAATGGTTTGTATTGGCGCCGAATATATTTGTATAATGTTATCATATCCCCTCTCAGGCGACGTTTTTCTAAACTAAATAGGTTTAAATTTGTTAACCTTTCTTCATAGCCAATATGTTCCATTCCTTTTATTAATTTTGTAGCCCGCCTCTGCACTTTTTCTAGTGCCATAATATCCTTCTTTCGAACAGGTGCCCAAAATTGCACAGCATATTTTTCTTGCAACTGTAATGTGGATAACCTCTGCTTTCTTGCCCCTTACATTATCACCTTGCTAATTCACAGGATAAGTTGAAAATTGATACTGTACCAAATCCAAGTTGTCAACAAGACCAGGTTTAAGACTTTAACCCCTTAAGGACACATGACATGTGTGACATGTCATGATTCCCTTTTATTCCAGAGGTTTGGTCCTTAAGGGGTTAAATAAGAGAAATAGCTCATCAGTTTAGATATATTGAGTGTTGCTTTACAAGCACAGAACATGATAGCAAAAGGAAAACTATTACAATCAATCAAGAAAATAAAAGATCATTAAAATTAGTTCTCTTACTTCTCATTTTTTAATCCAGATATACAATAATCTAATGTTGGTAACTCAGAACTGGCATTGCAAAAATGCCTGATATTGTATAACCATTGCGCTAGGCAATATTGTAGCTGTCACCATTTTTCCTGCCTTCTCCTGTGTTGGCTGTTCTAATTGCTTTCCCATTTTTTTGGCCTTTAAATTGCTGCTTTAGAAGAACCTACATTTTCTGCTCTGCACAAGTCTAATAAGCAATGCCTGGTGTCCTGAAGACATGATGCTTTGAATTGAGATCAAAATCTTCATCTCATCAGACCAGAGAATTTCCTTTATCATGATCTGAGAGTCCCTCAGCTTCCATCCGGCCAGTCTGTGCTAAAGGCCATATCAGCAAAGTGTTGCAGTGAGTGTTGTCCTTCAACAAGTTTCTCCCCTCTCCACACATGATCTCTGGAGCTCACCCAGAGTGACCATTGGGATTTTGGTCACATCTCTTACCAACAACCTTTTTCCCTGAATGGCCAGACAGCCAGCTCTACAAAGAGTCTTGATTGTTCCATACTTATTCCATTTAAGAATTGTGAAGGCCACTGTGCTCTTAGGAATATCTAAGGCAGCCAATTGTTTTACCTTTCCAAGATCTGTGCCACTACAGAATCCTGTCTATGAGCTCTGCAGGCAGTTTATTTAACATCGTGGCTTGGTTTTTGCTCTGATGTGGATTTGCAGCTATGAGTCATTATATACACAAACGAGTGTCTTTCCAAATCATGTCAAGGTAATTTTTCAGTTTTCTTTCTCCTAAATAAAACTATAATGATGTCAACAATGTGTTTTTGCTTTGTTATTATTTAGTATTACATGTAGATTTCTTTGAAAAAAATAAATATGTAAACAATTGTAGGCTGCAGCATTAAAAAATAAATTTAAAAAATGACACTCTGTTTCAGAAGCCGATTACCACTGAGCGACCTGGAGATCTGGAGCTGGAGGAAGCCTTTGGGGTTAAACCATTTGAGAGCGGTTTAACCCCTTAAAGGAAAGAGAGCACCGAGGGGCCTCCTGGCATCATAGCATTTTTATTTAGATGAAGTTGTTATGGTGACCAGAATGTTCCATTTGCTTAAAGGAACACAAACATGTACTCCTGACACCATAGTTGTGAAAACGCTATTCACCCTGGCTTTATGTGATAATGACTATGCTCCTCCCCTTTATGACACTGTCAAAAAGGGGTCAAGCATGGATGTCATTACAATTATGCCCCCTCCTGGAAAAATTCCTGCGGACGCCCATGCTGTGTCATTGTCTATCCAGTAACTGTGTGTGCCTGTGTCACAGTCTGCATTTAACTTGTGTGTGACTGACTGCATGTAGCTGTGTGTGTCTGTGTGTGTTATTGATTGTCTGTAACTATGTGTGTAGCTGTCTAACTGTGTGTGAGTGTGAGACTGTCTGCCTATAACAGTGTGCATGTGTGCCTATCTGCCTGTAACTGTATGTCTGTGACTGTCTGCCTATAACTGTGTGTGTGGCTGACTGCGTGTACCTGTGTATGTGGCTGACTGCCTGTGCCTGTGCTTCTATGCATGTGTCTGTATTTGACAGTGTATATGTATAACTGTGTGCATATGACTGTGGGACAGTGTGCATGTGACTCTGCATATTTTTAACTGAATTAAATATCAATCACACACAGCCAATGAACCCATTATAAATATCACACACAGCCAACACATAGCATGCTTATCAAACACAGCCATCACACCTATCATATAATATTATCACATTATATCATATAATAGTGAAATGTATCACAGTTGACTACTGACACATTACTTTGTGTTTCATAGTTGGGGAGCTCTGTGATACACTAATAGGCACACTACTAGGAGTTGTATTGTTGTGCAGCTCTGTAACATACGTATACATTACACAGTACTGGGAGTTTTATTGTTGGGGAGCTCTGTGATAAACAGGTTCACACCACATATTACTGTGAGGGTTTTTTGTTGCTGTTGAGCTCAGTGATAAAAGGTTAAACAGCGCATTACTATGAGGTTTTTATTCCAAAGAGGTAAATAAAGAAAATCCAGAGCTCCAAAGCAAAACAACTCACAGTATTAGGTGACATACAGAGTTTGCCCCTCTGTAATGCTGAGGAGGCAGCTTGGCACCTCTTTCCTGCACTTCTGTTGGCTTCAGGCCATAATTAACTGTCTTCCTAGCTCGGGCCAATCAGAGCGTTGATTACCACAGGAAAGCTCTCACACTGCAAGTGCCTGAACTCGTGACGCAATTATGCAATGACTGCACCCAGTGAAAGGGCAGACCATATTCCCAGCACACTGCAACACCATAGAGCAGCATACCACTTCCCCCCCCCCCCACTGTCAGGCAACAACAGGGAAGAGGAAATTCATTTTTATTTTTAAACCATTATTCATTTAATAAATCCCCATTACAAACACTACATTCTATACAGACACACACTATACATGGATGTAGAGGCATGACTGGGGGGGAGCACTGTGAAGATTTTTGCACAGGGCATCTAATGGCCTAGTGCCTACTCTGGTTGGCTCCGGTATAACCAGGGTCATTTTAATCCGGACCTCTTTCCTTCAGTCCCTTGACTGGCCATCAGGTAATGCATAGGAAAAATGTAATAAAATCCGCAGTCTGGTTATAAGGTGAGGGAAAGGCAGTGGGACATATAGTAGGACAAAGAAATGAAAGAAACACTATAGGGTGTTGTTATCCCTATTTCACTACCATTTAGGGTATAAGTTGCTTGTGCATTCTTTATCCCAAAGTGCATAACTTTTCATTTTTCTACATTAAATTTAATCTTCCATTTGAGTGCCCAGTCCCCCAGTCTATCTAAATCCCTCTGCAGCACAGTAATATCTTGCTCACATTGTATTGTTTTACAGAGTTTTGTGTCATCTGCAAACACTGAAACATGACTTCCAATAACAACGCTCTGTATTCTATTTTTAAGCCAATGTTCTACCCAGAAACAACAATTTTCATCCAGATCAATTTCTTTGAGTTGAAACACTAATCTATTGTGTGGAACTGTATCAAATACCTTGGGGAAATCCAAATAGATCACATCCACTGCAACACCCTGATCTATACTTCTACTTACGTCTTTGTAGAATGAAATTAAGTTAGTTTGACATGATCAATGCTTCATAAAACCATGCAGATTTTTGCTGATAACCACATTCTTGTCAAGGAATTCTTGAATATTATCCCTTAATAAACTTCCAAATACTTTCCCAGCCACAGAAGTTAAAGGGCCACTATAGGCACCCAGACCACTTCAGCTTAATGAAGTGGTCTGGGTGCCAGGTCCATCTAGGATTAACCCAGCCTGCTGTAAACATAGCAGTTTCAGAGAAACCGCTATGTTTATGTTAGGGTTAATCCAGCCTCTAGTGGCTGTCTCATTGACAGCTGCTAGAGGTGCTTCCGCGCTTCTCACTGTGATTTTCACAGTGAGAAGACCCCAGCGTCCATAGGAAAGCATTAAGAATGTTTTCCTATGGACTGGCTGAATGCGCGCGCGGCTCTTGCCGCGCATGCGCATTCAGCCGATGATGACCGAAGGAGTAGGAGAGTCCCCAGCGCAGAGGGAGCCCAGCGCTGGAGAAAGGTAAGTGATTTAAACCCTTCCTCCCCCTTCAACCGGTGATCGCGGTGTGGGGACTCACCTGGCAGCTCAGGGAGTCCCCCTCCATCTGTTTCGGCCCCCCTGGGCCATGTGAAAGCCGTCCATGTCAGTGTCAGCAGGGGGAGTCCCTGCTGCCTATAAAAAATAAATAAATGTTAAAACTGTTTAAAATTAAATTATATATACTTAGATCATATAAATACTTATTATATACATTATCTAAGTATATATATATATATATATATATATATATATACACATACATACACATAAATACACATAAACTGTCTAAGTGTATTTTAATATTAATATATATAAATAATTATATATATATATATATATATATATATATATAAATCAAAATACACATAGAAGGATATTGATTAAATATATATATATATATATATATATATATATATATATATATAAATTATCATTATATATAAAAATATATCTTTATATATAATATAAAATAAAGAAATATGTAAATACATTAAAAAAAATAAAAAAAAAATAAAAAATAATATATATATATATATATATATATATATATACCGTATTTTCCGGCGTATAAAACGACTGGGCGTATAAGACGACCCCCAACTTTTCCAGTTAAAATATAGAGTTTGGGATATACTCGCCGTATAAGACTACCCCTCTTCCAATACACACCAAATAAAAATTAGCCATGATGTACAGTGAGCAGACAGAGCTACACAGCAAGACATTAAATGACCACTATAGTGTCAG